TTTGAATACATTTCACAAGACAAGATTCAGATATATAAACGGCAAATAATCACATAAGAAAGATGCTCAAGAGCCAGACTTGATGGTGCTTGCCTGTAATCCCAGAACTTGGAAGGCTGAGGCAGGAGGGTTGTTGCAAATTTGAGGCCAGCTTGGTCTACAAAGTGAGCTCAAGGCTAGCCTGAACTGCATAGTGAGACCCTATCTCAAAAGGACCAGGAGAAAGAGAAAGGGAGAAAGGGAGAGAGAGAAAAGGAAGGAAGGAAAAAAAGATAAAAAAGAAGCTCAGAATTGGGCATAGTGGTACATGCCCATATTAGTCACTTGGAAGCCTAGGGCAAGAGGATCTCAAGTTCCAGGCCTACTTTGGCATCTTAGCAAAATCCTGTATGAATTGTTTTTTCAGCTACCAGAGACTGAACCTAGGACCTCACAAGTGCTGTGTAGGCACTCTATTGCTGAGCTATATAAACAAAAAGAGTGCTTACCTAGCAAGTGTGAAGCCATAAGATTAATCCTCAGTACTTAAAAGAAAAAAAAGATGCTAAACATAGTCATTCTGAAAAAAGCACAATAAGATACTGTTTCACACTCATCTGGGTGATAGTGCTCACCTATAGCCCCCGCTCAGAAAGATCACTTGGGAGAGGACACAGTTCAGTTCACGATAGCCATCCATATCCTCAGGATGAGGTATGTGCCATTGTCAAAGGACCTGGGTCATTGGGGCAGAGAGATTACTCAGGATCTAGAAATGTCCCGGCTTCTGAACCCCTTTGATTGAACCTCTCTATATTGTAATAAGATCTTAAAAAGGAATGATCTGATCTCTTGACCTTGCTCTTTGGCTATAGTGATGGCTTGTAACTTTGAGCCATTCATGACCAAATTAACTTGGCAGGTGGCTAGTGAGCTCTAGGTCTTAGAAGAAAGAAGCATTTACTATATTTGATCTGTGCCAAAATTTCCACTTTAATTTCTGGGAAGATATTTCTGGGAAAGTATTACAAATTAGGTCATAGTTTTCCCATCTTACAGAGAAGGAAACTGGTTACAAAACTTCTGCAGTTCCAGGCACACAGCTAGTAAAGGGCAAGGCTAAGGTTTGTACTGAGATTTCCTGGCTCCAAAGCCTAGTACCATTGTGACCATGTAAGACTGGATGGCAAATCCGGGGAGGAAGAGTGAGCTGAAATATCAGGTAAATTCCAAGATTATCTGTAATGACCACTTAGTGATAACTGATTTGTTAGTGGCACAAGAGTGACACCCAGTGGCTTCAGCGACAAATTACATGCTCAAGGATGATTGGTCAAATTCCTTCACCCCTGAAGGAGTCTCTCAGTTTTTCTTTCTAAAGGAAAAGTGGACCAGCTGATCCTCTAAGTAACAGAGAATAAAATAACCTGTAGCTATTGTACAGTTTGTGGATATGGAATAAATATATATTTAGAGTGTTCTAGAACATATTCAAGGAAAGCTCATGCAGGAGTGGAAACTTCATGCCTGGAATCAGAGTCGACAGTGGGTTAGGAAAGAGAGCACTGCAGGGCTGAGTGCACAGGGAACCTAAACCCAGAATGGGCAGGAGCAGTAGGAAATGGGCAGTTTTCTAAGGAGAGATACTCTTTCCTTAGGGTTACACTAGAAATGGACATAAATCTAAGGAGGTATCCCGGGGCAAAGGGACGGCCCGCTCTGGGCCTCAGGTGCTGAGTGGGTGGGTAAGGTTCTCATCCGGCTCCTGTGGGCAGTTACTTGGGAAGTCTAATTTCAAAAAGGGGAAAGGTTATAAGATTTTCCAGACTAAAATGAATGGAAGAGAAGAAAAACTTTTTCTCAAAGGAGAAAAAAGTTTTGGAAAATTTCCCGCTAATTTCCTTACTTCCTGCCTGCCTGCCCTCTTCTCTCCCTGCATCCCTCCCTTCTTGTGACCCTGCCCTTTTTTTTTCTTTTGCAGTACTAAGATTGAACTCATGGGCACTCTGCCACTCAGCTATATCACCCATCCATTTCATTTTGAGGCAGGATCTTACTAAATTGCCATACCTGGCCTAGAATTTGCAATCCTTCTGCTCCAGCCTCCAGAGCAGCTGCTTTATAGTTGTGCGTTACCACATCCAGCAATACTATTTCTTTTTTCATACTTTTAGGGCATCATTACCCCTTCCATGTTCCTTGGAATGCAATTACTTAGAAATTAAAACTTGTTTTAGTAAACACTATATGGTATCTTTTTAATTGTGGTACAATTCTTATGTGCTAAGATTTACCATTTTGAAGTATAGGATTTAGTGGTTTTAAGTATAATCACTGTATTGTGTGCAGCCATCACCACTAATTCCAGAACATCTTTATCACAATGAAAAGAAACTGTATCCATTAGGTTGCTGTTAGTCCAGGTTTCCCTCTCTTTGAGGCACCTGGCAATTTACTTTCTACCTCTATGGATTTGCCTGTTCAGATTTCTTGTAAGTGGGATCATAAAATATGAGGCTTACTTCAAGAAAATGTTTCCAAGGCTATTCTGTGTTGTAGCATGTCACAGTCCTTCATTTTTATGACAATAATGCTCCATTTTATGGACAGGCCATATTTTATTTATTCATTCATCAGGTGATGAATGCTCTTCCCCATTTTTTGAGTCTTATAAATAAAGCTATTTTGAACATTTTTGTGTGGGCATATGTTTGAAATTCTCTTGAGTATGTATAGGATATGTAGGAAAATATGTATTTCTTTTTTTTTTTTTTTTTTGTCTTTTTCATTTTTATCGGTACCAGGGATTGAACTCACGACCGCCTGCTTGCAAGTTGCAAGGCAGGCGCTTATGCCGCTGAGCTAAATCCCCAGCCCCCGAAAATATGTATTTCAATTTAAAAATTTTGTTACAGTAAGACGCGTTGCCAGCAATCCTCCTCGACGTACTCCCCCTTGCTTTGATCACCTTTATCCCATTGTTCTTGCCATTTTCTGAGGCAGTTCTGAAAGCCTTTGTTTGTATCTTTGTTGTACTGTCCTAAATTGATTCCAAATATTTATCTTTCATGGTCACTTAAACTTTGGGGAAGAGCCAGAAGTTGCACAGTGCCAGAGCCAGTGAATAAAATAGATGAGCCTTTCCATCATGGCAGTCAGTAGCATCATCTGCGGTATTTTTGATCACACCTTGTAAAGACAAGGACAGAAAAATACTTGCAGAACTGTTTCAGGTAGTGACAAGACCATTAGAATCTATGTGTGAAGTGAGTGGGAATATTCTGAAGGAAATTAATGGCAGTGAAATAAAATTTTACAATTCAAACAGTAGCCATATATTTCCATCACCCATTGTATCTAGGAGTAGAGTTGCTGGATCATATTTATAACACTGTGTCTAACTTAGGGCCTGGCATATGCTAGGCTCATCCTCTTCCAGACTTACACCCACTACCAGTTTAACTTTTTAAGGAATTTCTAAATCATTTTCCAAAGTGGTATCACCATCTTATGTTCCTGTCAGCACTATAATGGTGCTCCAATTTCTTTTTCTCTTTCTTTTCCTTATTTATTTATTTTGTACTGGGGATCAAACTTACACCCTTGCACTTACCAGACAGGTACTTATGCCACTGAGCTAAATCCCCAGCCCTACTCCAATTTCTTCACATTCTCATTAACAGCTGTTGTTGTTGTTATTATTATTGCAATTCTAATAGATATGTAGTTAGTTCAATGATTGATTTATTCTTTCTTTTGTTTAAGGCAGGTCTCGCTGCATAGTTCAGGCTGGCCCTGGACTCACTAGGTAGCTCAGGATGGTGTCCATTTTGGGGCGGGGGTTTGAACTCACAACCTCATGCTTGTCAGGCAGGCACTTATGCCACTGAGCATTTTTAAATTGGGTTTTTACTTTATTGTTGAGTTATGAGTTATTTAATCTTGATAAAAAAAGTAGCTTATCAGATATGATTTACAAATATTTTCTTTCATTCTTGAGATTTACTTTTCACTTTCTTCAGTTTCCTTTGAAGCATGAGTTGTAAATTTTTATAAATAAGATATATATTTATGTTTGTATTTTCCCCCCTTAGTACTAGGCATTCAACCCAGGGTCTTTGCATTGAGCTACCTCTCCAGCCCTTTTCTCATTTTGTTTTGAGACAGGACCTTGCTAAGTCACTAAATTGCCTGGGGTGATCTTGAACTTGGAACCCTTCTTCTGCCTTGGTCCCCAAAGTGTTAGGATTATAGACTTGTGTTGCCATTCCTGGATTATATTTGTATTTTTGAAAAGAAAAATGAGGAGCTGGAAGGATTGGGTTCTGGTCTTAGTAAGTACCAATGTTTCTCTGTCCAGATTGGACCAGCCAGTCCAGGGATTTGAAAGTGTGGCAAGGATTTGAAAGGTTCCACATGACTTCACAGCATGCCCTGTAACTTCCCATGTTTGACTCTGTCAGCCCCTTATGAGTGACCACTTACTCTATGTAAAACTCTGCTAGCTGTAAAGGGACAGAGAGATACGATGAACATCACCTACCGAAGTATAGCTAATAGGCATGTTAGCATAGAAATGAGGAACAGCGGCATGAAGAGCATATATAGATTTCAAGGAGACCACAGGGAACTGTCTGGATTTCAGGGAACTAAGGATGTGTTCAGAGCATCGAGAGTGAGCTGCAAGAGGAACCACAGAAGAAGCCCTGTGCCAAGCATGGTGATACACACTTGTAATCTCAGCCTTCGGGGCTGAGGCAGGAGGATCTTTGCGAGTTTGAGGCCAGCCTAGGCTACACAGTGAGCTCAAGGATAGCCTGGACTACATAGTCAGACCTTAGCCACGGTGGGGACAAAAAGAGGCTGTGAAGGGGAATTCACAAGCGAGGTGCAAGTTAATGGGGACTTCTAGGTGGAGAAAGCTCTGTGAGGTCAGCAAAGCTGCCAGCCACACTCCTGTTTCACTAGGGCTCGTTCATGCTTCTGTAAAACTTACTTGACATTTTTAATTCTGTAAGCAGCTGATTCCAGAGAAAAAGAATTCTGCCCAGAGCACAGAGGAAGCACGTGAAAACAGCCGCCCAGAGCTTCTTGCAGGTAGGTCTTGAGCCTTTCAGTTAAGTTCTGGACTGAAACTATGAAAGTGAGAAACGTGGATTCAAGCTCTCAGTCTATCCCACTGGGCCTTCAACCACGACCACATCCTTCTGGGATCTGGTTGGCTCCCGCTGCTACAGTGGGTCTTCCAGTAAGGGTTCTCTCCCCCAAGCCAGTGTGCTGGGGGGAGAGAACCCTTACTAATTCTAATACAGTTTGTATGGTGACAGCAGCAGGTGCTGGATCAGGGGAGGGTAAGAAAAGAAACAAATAACTACTTTGAAATGTGTAGAAAAAAAAATAAAAATAAAAGAAACAAAGCCTGAATCCAGCGGATTATTTCACATCTTTTCTCAGCTGTCTGTGCTGAAGCTGGTTAACACTCTGTTGTGGGCTGCAGAGGCCGCTCTTGGGTGCAGATACTACCTCAGATCTCATGTGTGTTGTGAGGAAGTGTCAGCATCTGTGAGTGATGGAAGTCACACAGGCATCTTTCTTAAGACTCATAGGCCCTCACGCTTCAGCAGCCTGTGGGGCCAGCAGCGGAGGGGTAGTAGCAGTTCTTAGCACAATACGGTCACCGACAGGTACTGGGCGCTGTCCTGGAGCTTTTAAGATATGCTAATGCCCTTAGTTCTCAGAATAATCCTATGAAGTATAGGTACTATGATTATCCTCATTTTACAGATGAGGAAACTGAGGCTTGGACATGTCAATGCACTTACCCTGTGTCACACAGCTAATAAATCACAGCCAGAATTCAAATCTGGACAGCTGGCTGTGGTCTTCCTCTGGAAAAGCCAAATTAGCAGGGCTGCCTTCCTATATATCCTGAGTCATTTGGACCAAAGATTATCTAGGCTTGAGAGAATATGGAGACTGTGACTTTAGTGCCTGGGTTTTATTGGTAAATTCTTCTTTCTGGGGTCATAACTACAACATGCAGTGTGTTCTCCATGCTTAGACCTGAGATGTGTTCTGAATCATTTCGTCCTTTGAACTATGCTTTAAATGTTGTACAGGCTGTCACTACCAAAAAAAAAATACTGTGGTGAAGACGTGTATAAAAGTTATTTTTATAAATGTAGATTTGAATATTTTTAAATGGAAGCATACTACGTACCATTCAATATCTTAGGCAGCAAGAGGAAGCAAAATAATAAGTACCATCTCTTAAAATGAAAAACATTAACATTTGGTGTTTTTTTTTTGTCTTTTTCCTTTTTATCAGTACCAGGGATCGAACTCATGACTGGCTGCTTGCAAGGCAGACACTTGTGCCGCTGAGCTAAACCTCCAGCCCCAAAACATTAACATTTAATTCAGCATTTGCTATGGACTCCAGAGAGACATTAGGCTCTCACAGCCCTCATCTCATTTAGTCCCTCACAGTGAGTGGCATTTCTTCCTTTTCACCTGTGAGAGAACCCAGGCTCAGAAGTTGGGTCAAGGATTAGTTAGCAGAAAGAAGAGCTGAATTTCTTTAATTTCTTTCTTTCTTTCTTTCCTTCTTCTTCTTTTTTTTTTTTTTTTTTTTGGCAGGGTCTTGCTATATAGCCCAGGCTGACCTCAAACTCATAGCAATCTTTCTGCCTCAGTCTTCTAAGTGCGGGGATTTCAGGCATGCGCCACCACACCTCGCAGAAGAGCTGAATTTCAGCCTGCTGTCTTCAGAGCTCATGCTTTCTCCACTGTGCAATATGAGCCGTAACACCTAGACGCTGGCTGCTCAAGCAGTTGTGCCCTCTTATTGGCATGCATCCTGTGGCCCGAGGGGGCAGGTCTCCTGATGAAATTCACTGGAAAACTATTTCGATGCTGCCAGACATCCACAGTTTTCCCCTAGCAGCCTTTCTTTTGCCAGCCCTTTGCTTTACCTTTCTGGCCTTTTCTCCACAATGGCTACTCCAGTCCTTTTCCCTCCGTCCCCTTTTGAGATACAGGGGGTTGACCATGCTAAGCAAACATTCTACCACCGAGCTTCATTCCTGCCTGCTCCATTCTTTTTTTTTAATTTAAATTTATTTTATTTAAATTTATTTTAGATTTCTACCTAGTCTCTGCCTGCAGTGTAGCCTCCTACTTCACTTTATTGGTTTCTTTTCTCAGGAAATTCGCCAACTTGTATTCCTCCCATTGCAGAACCTTAGCCTGGTAGCCTCAGGCTCAGGGTGACATCATCCCCCCTCTTTTCCCAGAGCAGGCTTGTGTCTTAGTTACTTTATACTCGTCACAGTATAAAGTATACTGAGACAAAATACCTGAAGCCCAAAGTTGGGCAAGGAAAGGTTTATTTCTTACAGTTTTTGGAGGTTTCAGTCCACACTCAGTTGGCTCCCAGGCAGGTGGGCATGGCTGGACCACTGTTCATGGTAGCTGCAAACAGCAAACTCAAGAACCAGCAAAGAGAAAGGCATACCTTCTTCCTGCCATTACATCACATCCTGGCTCCACCCCTATGTGGGTGGAGCACTGATACCATCAATCCAAGCACTAGGCAATGAACCAATCACAGATACACAATGAAAACTCATGAGGCCTCGGGGACACAGACATAAACCATGACAGCTTGTGTCAGTTATCTCTTCTGTACCTTCAACTCTCTTCTTTATTCTTTTCCTCTAGCCTGCCAGTCTCTCATGTCTTCAAAAGTAAATCTCTTGTGACCCTGAATTTACTCCATATATCCTCCCATCTCAGAAAGCGTGCTACATGCTCCCTCCCTCTCTCATCCCCCCCCCCTCCCGGAACCTAAAGCACTTGCTTTCTTTATGGCCTCTGAAACTGCAAGATCTGTCCATTTAGGTAAGAGACTCTTAATTATCAAACTGTGCATTTAGCTCTACCATATGTGAACTGTTTGCAGAATTGGTATGACTGTGACTTACCTGGTTCTCTTTTGTCAGCTTTGTCTTCCACCACTTTCTTCTGGCCATCATTAAACAGTGCTCATCCTAAATGCCCTGCTAGCTGCTGCCTTCCACGCAGCTCTTGACCACTGCCTCTAGGCTCAAGTTTACCAGTCGGTGTGACCTGCCCATGCCTCTCCTGATGATCAGAGCTCCACTCTGGAGGGCCTGTTGCATTTCAGCCTTTTCCCTCATGATGGCCTTGCCTTCTGCACACCTCCCCCAAGGTCAGCTCGTACTGTCATATCACCATTCCCTATCTAGCTTTTCACATCTGAAATCTCAGATTCTTTCACCAGGCCCCTCACTCGCATGTCCCACATCCAGTGGATCACCAGGCCTGGCCTGAGGAGTACTTTGCTAGTGGTGCCTCCATCCACACCACCTTTACTTCTCTTGAAGTCTTCCTGCCTCGTGTTTGAAAAAAGCCAACCTTTGACAGAATGAATAATCATCCTAAAATACAAAATCAATAGATCTGTCCAGTTCTTAACATGCTTCACTAGCTTTCTACTTGTTTCCTAAAGGTAAAAGTCTGTCTTAGCCTTTTCTGATTCCTTCTACTCTCCTAGATTTATTCCTTGGATTACACATACACACACACCTACACCTCACCCTTGCATTTGTATAAAGTTTATTTGCTTGTCTTTCAGCATGGAATTACTTTTCTCCTTCCAAACCTCACTCAGAGAAACCTTTCCTCACCTCTTCATGGTCAGTTAACAGCTTTCTTCACTTTTACCCCTCGGTTTTGTACACACTTCTGAATCTTTCCCAGCACCTGCGCTTCTCCCAGGGAAAAGCTCACTTATCTACATTGCCAGGATCTGTTCAGGAAGAATCCAGATCTAAAGACGGTTTAAATATGCACAAGTGAGGACCAGTGTGGCGGATTGGTAACTGGTGGTCAACTTAAACGTCGGCTGAACTGAATCGGTGTGGTGCTGAGCATGGAAGGCCCACCTGAGGACTGTTGCTGGGAGACCTAGAACAGGTTCCCCTAAGCTTTGTTTGGAGCTGTTCGTTCTGGAGAAGCTTGTGAAGCTTCTTCCCTGATATGAACTTAGCTGTTGTCATTGTTGGAGGAGCTCAGGACCTTGTTGCTGAGGATGGCTGTGGTAGTTTTAAGGGGAGCCCTGGTTCTTATTTTTAGCGTTGCTTCTTGGCTCCGGTGCAAAACCCTCAGCCTTCTGGCACAGATCCTTCACTCCTTGCATAGACTTTCTAGCTTCCACTGCTGACCTTTGGGCCTTACCAGCAAAGATCCATGAAAAAGACTTGCATGAGTCACTGCCGTGGGCAGTAGGTTTTCAGCTGAACTCATGCAGGTTATTACAATGGAATCCAGATCTTCGTCTGAATTTTCTAGGTCTTTAGTGTTGTGTACTGATTTCCTGCACATTCTTTGTATTTGACTCTTTGGGTGATAATTATAAATGATACTGTAAGTTATGTGTCCGGTATATAATTGTTTTTGCAACCCCTGACTACAACACCGAATGTAGCTCAGCAGCAGAGTTGATATGGCAAGTGTGGGGCCCCGAGTTCAATTCCCAGTACAAAACCAAAACAAAATAAACTTACACAAGTGAACTAGTTAGGAATAAGAACGCTGCCTGTGAGCACTGCTCAGTGCCATAGGGGAGGGAGGTGTGGCTGACTTGCTTTTCCAGGAATCAGCTTGGCAGGGAGGCAAGAGCTTGACAGTGCAGACTTCATGGACAGACGAATCTGTGTGTGAAGTCACTAAAGGAGGCTGAGCCTCTAAGTGACAGCTTGGTAGGATCCCAGATGCCCCTTTCAAGGCCCAATTCAGGAGTGCGAGAGAGGCCTGAAACAGTTACGAAGGCCCAGTAGCTGCAGGGTTTTGATCTGGACAGGACCTGGGAGTAAGATGAAGTGGGCTCAATTTCTCCTAGAGATCAGCAGACGAGCACAACGCAAGAGGCTCAAGAGCGGCAGCGCTCATCAGGGTGAGGAGATGCGCATTTTCGTGGCCTCCCATAGCGCGGACCCGCCCAGCGCCTCTCTCTTCCAGAGGGGAGAAGAGGTCTGCACAGCCCACGACAGAAACCCAGCCTGGGAGAGGGGAAGCCCAGTGATCGCAGGCCTGGAGGCCACAGAGAGCACCACGCAAGTAAGGGCAGGCGGGCCAGGGATCGGGCAGTTGCAGAAAGGACCTTGGGCCCCTTTTCTCCCGCAGGATGCACTCTGGCTGCAGGAAGTCTCTAATCTGTCAGAGTGGCTGCATCCGAGCTCTGAGTCGTGAACCATGCCGCTCCTGAATCTCCTGGGGTGGGGGGGAGCGAAACTGAGGGCGACTGCGTGATGTTTGATTTAATAAAATTGCTCCATGCCTGCGAAGAGTACTGTAGTGCCTGGGTAGGGGCGTTGGGGGGCGGGGCCGGGGGGCGGGCCCCGAGGCGGGACCGCCGCCTGACGTCACCGGCGCGTCCATGGGTTGGCGTCACTGGTGCGCGCCGCGGTCCGGGCGCGATGGCGGCGCTGGGCGGGGATGGGCTACGCCTGCTGTCTGTGTCGAGTCCTGAGCGGCAGTCCGAGTCAACGACACTAGGAGGCCGGGGTCCCGAGCTGTGCTGCTGGGTGTCAGTGTTCTCCTGCCTCAGCCTCGCCTGTTCCTACGTGGGCAGTCTCTACGTCTGGAAGAGCGAGTTGCCCAGGTGCGGGGACTGCGCGCGGCCCCCACTAACCTGCGCCTAGCGAGGCTGGGCTGCGGGCGGAGCTTGGGTGAACTAGGGGCGGAACCAAGCTGACAGGTGGTGGCCGAGGGCCCCCTGAATGTACTGTCCCCTTCGTAGGGATCACCCTGCTGTCATCAAACGGCGCTTCACCAGTGTCCTGGTAGTCTCCAGCCTCTCCCCTCTCTGCGTGCTGCTCTGGAGGGAACTCACTGGCATCCAGGTGCGAAAGAAGCGGGCGAGGGGCAATAGAATCGAACTCAAGGGTCTTTGGGGAGGGAGCAAGACTGATGCCCCTTTTCCTGTGGCTCAGCCAGGCACATCCCTTCTCACCTTGATGGGCTTCAGGCTGGAGGGCATTTTCCCAGCAGCTCTACTGCCCTTGCTATTGACCATGGTGAGTTCTGCTTTATTTTTACTACTGTGTTGTCACTAATATCAAGAGCCTTTTATGGCTCTTTTTGTTTGTTTGTTTGTTTAAGTCAGAACTCTAGGATATGCACGGTAGAGGGCGGGGTGTGTGTGTGTGTGTCCTGAACTGAAGAATTGTGAAGTATCATGAGGCAGGGTGAGGTTAAAGGTCTGGACAAGAAAGTGGTTTGTGGTGAATGTCTTTTCTTTGATTTCTGCTGTTTTTATGCCACCAGATCCTTTTTCTGGGCCCACTGATGCAGCTCTCTATGGACTGCCCGTGTGACCTGGCAGATGGGCTGAAAGTTGTCCTAGGTGAGTGCGCAGAGGGCAAAGTAGGCATAGGAGGTCCGGAATAATGGAAAAAGAGAATCATAGTGCAGTCTGGTTAGGAGGTAGGAGGTGTCCTCTCTCAGTAAAATTGGACTCTATTGCTGGGTGGTCTCTGAGAGTTGGCTCCTGATGCACATGGAGTCCAATTGAGACCCTCAACAATACTTGACCTGGACCAGAGTGTGTCATCTGCTTCCTCAACCTTTTGCTTCTTCAAAGCAGAATTGGTCTTAAATTTTGATGTCTCTGTACCCTCCCTGCCTCAGTTACTAATGCCTTTCCTTTAAATCATGTCAAGATGTTGCTTTACATTGGGTCTGGTAAACATAAAGTTCCATTGTCCCCTTTCCTACTTCTGGCCTGTGTTTGGCCTAGGTAAAATTATGGAAGAGGTGCCTCTGAGTCTCATTGTTCCGTAACCAGTAGTTCACTGCCTGTTACTTAGCCCCTCGATCCTGGGCCCGCTGCCTCACAGACATGCGTTGGCTGAGGAACCAAGTGATTGCACCCCTGACAGAGGAGCTGGTGTTCCGGGCCTGCATGCTGCCCATGTTAGCGCCGTGCACAGGCCTGGGCCCTGCTGTATTCACCTGCCCACTCTTCTTTGGAGTTGGTGAGTGTGGCCCTGAGAATGAGGCTTTGGATGAAAGATGAGCCTAGAGTGAAGGCCAGAGGCATATGGCATGGTTCTCACCTTCTTTCTAGCCCATTTCCACCACATTATTGAGCAACTGCGTTTCCGCCAGAGCAGTGTGGGGAGCATCTTCTTATCTGCAGGTGAGTCCTGGATTGTGTGTTAGGGTGTCCCTGACAGCCATGCTAGAGAAAAGATTAGAAACAGAGGCCTATAGCATTGGAGGGGCCGCTCACTATGGGAGTTGGGTGCAGAGGACAGTCATAGGTGGTGAAGGAGGCAGCCACTGCCCCAGGGGGAAGGGGATTGTCTCTGGCTGGTGGGCATGCAGTGCTGGGGCAGGGTGGGCGTGCAGGTGTGGTCACTCGCGGCCTCCCCGTCTCCAGCGTTCCAGTTCTCCTACACAGCTGTCTTCGGTGCCTACACTGCTTTCCTCTTCATCCGCACAGGTTGGTTCTCAGTCTCTCATGGGTCTTTGGGGGTTCAGGAACCCACAGGAGTGGGTGGGAGAATGGGAATACTGTGTTTGAGGAATAACAAAATGTTTTAACCATCCTTGAAACAGGCTGAGCCAGGGCCTTCAGCTTCAGGTGAAAGGAAGAAGAGGGGTGGGGGTGGGCCACTAACCTGTTTCATGGGACGAGGGTCTGAGGCCAGCCCTGGAGGGGTGGAGGAGGAGGTGGGGCGGCTCCATGAGCTATACTGTCTCCCCTCCCCAGGACACCTGATTGGGCCTGTTCTCTGCCACTCCTTCTGCAATTACATGGGCTTCCCTGCCGTGTGTGCAGCCCTGGAGCATCCGCAGAGGCGGCCCCTGCTGGCAGGCTATGCCCTGGGTGTAGGACTCTTCCTGCTTCTGCTCCAGCCCCTCACGGATCCCAAGCTCTACGGCAGCCTTCCCCTTTGTGTGCTTTTGGAGCGGGCAGGGGATTCAGAGGCCCTCCTGTGCTCCTGACCTTCACTCATTTGTGACTCCATTGAACTGTCATGGGCTTCCCAGCCCCTCCCCATCAAGGGGTACCACAGGGGAGGGACTCTGGGGTTCCCGAGATCTCAGGAATTTTTGTAGGGGATTGAAGCCAGAGCTAGTCGAATCCCAGGGACCAAGAGAAAGCAGCAGATATCCAAAGGGTGCAATCCCTCCTCAAAGGGGGTTGAGGAGCAGCTGGGAGGGGACAAGGGGCAGGTCCCAGGAGCTGTGCACGCCCTCACTTTGGACTGTTGCTGCTTTTAGCTCTTCTGCCCCCAGCCCCTGAAAAGCTGCTCAGGTGGTTTTATTTGTAAAACCCCTCCCCTGAACTTCCCAGGGTTTTCTCATTGTCTTTTTGCATCAGGACTTTATATTGGGATATTAAAGAGATTTAACTTGGGTAACATGGCCTCGAATCTTTGGGAATCCATCTGTTTGGAATCTTGGGAAGAATTCCAGATATCCTAGCTACCTTGAACACTAATCGTAGAGCAGTTCCACCCATTAGGCAGTTCCCAGGAGTAGAGGATGAGGTGGGGCACCTGAGGTATAGCTTTCTCCCTGAGCCACGCTCCATATCCTAGCACAAGTGGGTCTGAGACTATAGGTACCAGATGTGGGCCCAGGTACTCATGGCCCCAGCCTCATCGATGGAGCTCCCAGCTTGTATCCTCTGGAAGGGTGGACACGGGGCCCTCAAAAAACCAACTTCATTTGAGAGGAAGCAAGTCCAGAATAGGAAAGGAACCTGCACTGAGAACCTGTACTCCCCAGAAGAGGGGCTTTGGGTTCTCTCCAGCCATACCGCAGTCATCGTGCCTCACGTAGCCTCCGGAGGAACTCAACGGAGGCCAGTCCTGAGAACAATAGTGACTCTGCCCAGCAATGCAGTAAGTTGCTTTTAGAACGTTTTTTTTAGCATACCTTTAGTGTGCTAGCTTCTCGCTTTCAGAATGGTTCTCACTGTCCTGTCTAGGACCGTTGTCTATTTGCTTCTTTAAAAAGCACTCTTTTAGGTCTATTTCCTGAGGCAGCTGGTTGGAGGAAAGGAAATGCTTGTGACACTCCCAGGCTGGCTGTGACTGCACCACATTCATCTACGGCTACAGGGCAGTGCCACAGTTCTATATCTGCCTCTCCCGTTGTCTGTGAGGCCACTGTCCAGAGGACAGGGATGATTGAGACCTGTTCACAGGGTACATTTGAGAGCCTGTAGTATAAAGGAGGTGGCCCCTGTGACATGGGTGCCCAAGGTCAGATCCTGTACTGTGAGAACACTGGGTGGATAGGCTTGCAGGGCCCTAGGGATGTACTTCCTGCCTGGTCTCCTGGGTATCTGGCTCTGTCCCCCGCTTCCTTACAGAGTCTAGCATGCATCCCACCATCTCTGGGTAGGCGGCCAGTGATACAATCAGTTACTGTCCCCTCTGCAGGTAAGAGAACTGAGACCCAAGGTTTTCTTGAGATCTGGTTTTGGGAGAACCGTGACCCCAGCTGCTCCAGTGCTTCTGTTAACCTTCTATCCACATCCTCACACTCAAATTATTGTCTGCTTCATCAGCATTCCCAAGGGTCTTCCCCACTGCTCAGATGGCTCCTGTTTGCACTTAATCCTGAGCTAATGAGACGGGAGGTTGGCCCCTGGCTGGAGACAGGTCTGTCAGTGGTCTGGGGTAGTCCTGTTCTACCTTTGCCTACTTGTGGAGTCCTGGACAAGTTATCTAACCTTCCTGTGACTTGATTTGTGTCCATAAATAGGTGCAAGTTGATTGTTCCAGTTCATAAGTGTTTAGAACAAACCCCACTCCCCAAGCAAGCTAAGTAATGCCCGGTCGTATAGAGGGCATGTGTGTAACAGGGGCACAGTTGGCATCCTTGCTATAAACCAAGAAAAAACAGCCAGTTTGCCCCCCGCCCTAGTTTAAGAAGCAGCCACATCCTCTCTGCCTCTGGGCTGAGGGTAGCACTGGGGGTAGGGCGGATGGCACAGGACCCAGCGTGGGGAGCAGAGGAAAGTTAGTTTTATTGAGCAAATGTCCCAGAATCTGAGGTTTAGGTCTCCCTCACAACCAGGAGGTAGGACCCCTTAACCTTCTCCAGGTCCTAAGACCATCCACTTGTCTGCCTGTAGTCTCCCATGAGGAGAGGACCCTTATTTGGCAAGAGATGAATATGTAAGCAGCTGTCCACCAGTGAGGAAAGGACAGATGGCCAAAGGGAATGTGCCTCCGCAGGAGTTTCTGCTGTCCCACTGGCAGGACCTCCAGGACCAGGCCTTTCTTCCTATAGGCACCAGCCTGCCTGGGCCTGACCTGGC